GCGCACCCTCCCCCCCCCGAACTATGTCCCACCCACCCCAATTTGAACCCCTAAAAACAACTTTGACAGTGTAAGGTACTATGGTAAACAGATTTATTTGCTTTCCCAGAAAGCAAATAAATAACATACATGTCAACTTGTACGGATTGTCCGTAAGTTATAAGTATTTTACGTCATTTTGCAGGTATACAGACGTATAGGACAATCTCACAGATATTGTCAAGTCTTACGGATTCTTTCAAAATCTCATTTTCAAATTTTTCTAACATGTCAGATGTAGGATAATTTAAAAAAACAATAAATACCATTAAACAGCCATCTTACAACGTGTTCTGTTCTGCCGGTAGAAATAAGTTTTGAACTTTTTCCGCTCTCCTCTCCTCCTGCTTGGCAGCGGGCACTTTCATGTCCCCAGCAAGGCTGACAAACCCCCCACCCCCGGGTGTGAGTTGTATGGATTTTTTGCAAAATTTACAGATTTTTGAGGCTTTTTTTTTTTTTTTTTTTTTTTACAGAGAAACATCCGAAGAGGTTGACATGTATGGGACAACAAAATATAGACTTGTTGTTATTGTTTGTCAACACGAACCGCTACCTGAGAGGCACTACTAGCCCCTCTCCCGTCAGAGTGTCGGAGCAGGACGAGTCAGTGCAACGTCAATCAAATGAGAGAGAGGGTGGGGGCGATTGCTGCATTGGGGGGAGAAAATGATTTATGGGTAGTTTATTTTTTCTGTAATACTTCATTATAGTTTTTTAAGACAAAGCTAATTGAAAGGGGGCGCTGAGCAGAGTTACAACCACAAATAATTACCTTTTTTTCTTCTGCAGTTTGGCGCCCCCTCCAGCAGATGGCGCTCTAGGTGACCGCCTAGTTCGCCTATGCCGAGAGCCGCTCTGACTTTAACTTTTATCAAAGTAATTTTTTGGTAAGATACTTGTACTTTTACTCAAGTTTCACTTTGTGGTACTTTCACTGGTTGGGGGGGAATCTGGGTGGAGAAAGGCAGAGAGATACCTGGATGATGGCAGAATCTTTGAGACTCTCAGATTAAATGAAACCTTTAAGTCTGTAAAAGTTTAAAGATTCTGCTTTGGTCCAGTTTTATAGAGTCTAAAATGGAACAATAAATATTTATAACCCTTTACTGTTTTAACCAATCAACTAAGTTCAGTGAGCTTCATTTGGACCGCTGTTTCTGCTGGTTCCTCTCGAACAGAACTATTGGATCTTTGCTCTGTCTGAGAGCAGAACAGGACCAGGTCGGAGCTGGAAACTGGACTTTGAAGCGCATGTTCGAGGGGACTGTTCGGAGCCGAACCTAAGTCCGGACCGGGCTGGATCATCTGCCGTGTTCCGAACCTCTGACGCCTGGTTCCGTTCATTTAAAGAGCGAGCGAGCATGAAATGGTTGGACTAGTAAACACAAGCTGGTGTGACGCAGCGGACCGGGGTCTCCATGGAAACGGAACCAGTGCCCCCCTCCCCCTCCGTCCTCCCCACGGTCCGCCCCCATCCTCTCAGCTGGGATGGATGGTTCTGAGCTCCGCTCCTCGCTCTCACACTGACAAGCAGAAATAAATCGGATCGGAACCAGGCCGGTACCAGAGAGCCCATGTTCACCGACAGGATGACTCTGAGCCCGCCCGGACCGTCCGGACCCCCGGAGGAGCTGCAGGAACTCGGCTTCATGGAGCGGCCGATCCGGAGGTGTCTTAAGGTGGGTGCTCGTGCGTGTTCGTACACGAGGGTTTTTTTCTGCTGTTCACACAGACCTGGGCAAGATGATGATGAAGAAGATGATGATGATGAAGAAGATGATGAAGCAGCAGGAAGCGGAGGGAAACCCGGGATGTGCGCAGTGTGACGCAGTTAGTCCGTCAGTCTGGGACACTCCGGCTCAGAGAGCTGGACTAACAGACTCAGATTCCAGGTTCTCCTGTCTGCTGAGTCATCATCATATACATTATGTTCATTTTCTATATTCTACATTCATAATCTATATTCATTTTCTATATTCATATTCTACATTCTATATTCATAATCTATATTCATATTCTATATTCATATTCTATATTCATATTCTATATTCATATTCTATATTCAATATCAATATGATCATAAAATTCT